AAAATTTTTTTCCGGGCCCGGGAGTTTTTCCCCTTTCTTTATTTTTTTAAAATTTTTAAAACCCTTCCGGGGAAAAAGGCCCTTTTGGCAAGTTTTCGGGGGGCCCACCCTTGCCCACAAAGCCCCCCAAATTGGGGGGGGGGAAAAACCAAAAAAAAGCCCGTTAAAAATTGGCCCAGAAAAAAAATTTTTTTTTCCCCCTTCCCGGGGGGGGGGGGGGGAGGGAGGTGTGCGGGAGAGCATTTTTTGTACGCCCTTGGACCATCCTCTCCTTTTTTCTTGGCATTTTTCCTTGAGTGCCCAATAAATAATGCATGCGATCGTCTAGCATTTTTCATTTTTTGGGGGGGGGGTGCTTCGCGCAATACCTGTAGGCTAGGCACGCAAGGCTGATCTCCCCACAAGCTGAGATACTTTTGTGTTCGCCTGAAACGCCCCGACAAACAAGCCGACAGAAACAGCAGAGAGAGCAGCAGCTGGGAATTTGGAGAGGACGCACACGCACCACCTTCGTGGGGAGTGCTGCTGCGAACAAACACGAGTGGTGTGTTTTTGTTGTCGACTCTGCAGGAGGAGGCATCTACCCTCGATGGAGCTGCTTCCCTCGTCGACAGTATGCGCCGTGTCTCGGGGGCCGTCATCGAGGCTCCCAACAACCGGGGCCCAGGCCGCGGAGAAGCTTGGCTTCCGGACGGTCGATGGCGGCGTCGCGGCCACCTTGTTCGTGTGTCGTTCGGGAAGCCGGTGATGCACAGGGAAACGCGTTTCGGGTCGTTTTTTGTTCCTCTTGCTGTGTGCTCTCGAGAGTACATACCACATGTTTAAGTCGAGAGCGACACACCCCCCAGCCGCGCGTCACTCTACGGTTGATACGCGTGGCACAGAGCCGTCAATACAGTTGGAACCGGGCATGGATGTTCGCGCGGTATATCCTGCATGTATGTGCACGGTGTGATACCCCCGGCTAGAGAAATATTTATTGTTTGTTTCGGCACGAACCATACTTTCATAATCTGGAACTTTTTCCGCCTAAATTTAGAGCATGTATGTAAGCAACGAACGTATACCCCTGCACAGCGCCTGGCTATCTATTTTTTCAAAGACCGATACACGTCCCTCGCGGGTGCCCAATCAACCCGTGAGGGTGTGTGGGCAAACACGAGGGGTGGATGGTGAGACCAGCTCGTGGTCCTTCATTGTGGAGTGTAGAGCCTCTTAGGCCGGCCAAAAAAACGGCAGTAAGTGTCGCTGCCTACCGGCTGGTACTTGCAGGGATCTGAGGGCTTTACGGTCTCTACCGGCGAAAACGGCAATAAAATTGTTTGGACGAGTACACCACACACACGCGTTCTCATTCACACACAATTGTTTCCTTGTTTGTTTAGCTGTACATGCCGTGAGGCTGTTGGTGGGGTTTGATCCTGGCCCATGCTACGAGTAGCCCCTTTCGTTGCAACAAGGGGAGGTAGACGCAAGAATATAAGCCTGACGGGAACAAAAAATATTAAACAACGTGTGCCAAAGCGATCGCCTTCCCGCCTCTCGTGTTGCTTGTTCTATTGTCTCGCTCAGATAGACCGCCGAAGCGATCGTTCACAAGGGGAAAAAAGCCCGCCCGACGAAGGGCCGGAAAAAATGCGACTGTCACCGCGGGGGCGGGTGGTAAGGGAATGGTGGTGGAGTTGGAGGTGGTGTTTAGCTGCCCGAAGAAGTGCGGAGCCTTCGCCGCGAACGGTTTGGTGGTGGGCAAAACCTTCAGATCGAAGCGCAAGGAGGGCTGTCGCCCGGCGGTCAGTGCCTCATACCCGGGTGGCGCCGGTTTCCGCACAATACGGTACCCGGTTGACCCGCGTTGCAGCATGCGGGTTGGCCCCGTTCCGAACGCCAGCGCCCAGAACCTCGAGATGCGTTAGCGCCGCCGCCGGGCGGCAGCTCTCCTTGTGCTACTGCGATCTGAAGGTTTTGCCCACCACGAAGCCCTTCGCGGGGAACGCTCCGCACTTCTTCGGGCAGACAAACTCCTTCTCCATCTCCTCTACCATTCCCTCCCGACCCGCCCCCAGGCTACTCCTCGTTCGATGCCACCTGACGGGGGCAACCCCAACCAAGCAATAAACAAAGAAACAATCAAGCCAACAACAAGTGAACGTGCGGGTTTCCAACTGACAGGGAAAAGAGACCAAAGAATGAAGCCATGCCTCCTTTCGATGGACAGGACAGAGACAAGCCACGACATCAACCTCACTTTCGCGTCCTCCATCAGTACGCCTATGTATGTAGTGGCCCTCGACGAGCCGGTCGACCCCGCTTTCGGGCTTCATCACGGAAAGGTGCTTCCGGCGGACCTCGCCCACGAACGAAGGTACGCCCGAGTCGAACGAACGGCGGGCATCCTGGGAGAGACACAGGTGGATGGCCTTGGACACCACGCCGGCCATGAGTGCCGCGCCCTCATTCGCGACGTCTCTCGTGCACCTCCTGGAGCATCACCAAGACAAGAGAAACAACAGCGGAGTGGGGGGCACGGTTGCGTTTTTTGAAATTTTCTGTGCTCCTTTGAAAATAAATACTACGATTTGCGGGTGATCATAAATACTGGGTGCTGCTCCGTGTTGGAATTAATGCGTTCACTCGACGGGTTGCGGATCGGCCTCTGGCGTCGACCCTCGATCCCGTGGCAGGGGGGGGGGGCGAGTCGGAGATAATTTTCTTTCTTGTCGTTGACCCCTCGAGGAAAAGGGGGCTACACGTTTGACCTGCTGTGCTGTCTTCAAGTGCATACCAGGTCAACCGATGTACACGACGAAGAAGTCCGTCCGTAGCCGACCCCGCGTGCCAGAGCTAATTGAAGTCAGCGAAGAAAAAAAAAAACTGCACGTACAGTGCCAACAAGTCTTCGCAACGGAGGTTGGGTCTTATCGAAGAGGAACAAAAAATGCCGCAAACGAGATTCGAGCGGTGTAGAAGAGGCCGGGACCGTTCGAAATGACCACGACGGCAGCAATAAACCCGATGCCGGGAGCATTCACAACGATAGCCTTCCATGCACACACCGCAACAAACCGAGCCAAGTATTTTTGTTGCAGGTTACAATTCAGTAGCAGCACACCAACGCGAAGCGTCGCGCTTGGACTGGAGGAGGAGCAGGGGCAACAGGGGCAAGAGCAAGCCAGCTGTCGTGCACCACCTGTCAAGACAGCAGGGCAGAAGAGATATCTAATTCACACAACGAAAGGATGCAAAACACGGATGCGAACAAGACAACACAAAAACCGAACAACCATACGTAGCTCCTGCATGGGTGAAAAACAAGAAGCGGCACCGACGACCAAAGGTATTTATCACCGCTGTCCGGGTCCGACGATGCACACTGCTACGAGGGAGAGAACTCGACTCCTCCAGAGATGCAACTATGGAGATGCAGCTCGCATAGTTGCGTGTGCCGCACCGTTTACACAACGTGAACCAACACTCGCTCTATCTGGCCGTTTATTTTGTGGACCGATTCCCCCTCTGCCTGCTACTTGGAGTTTCTTAGAACAGGACACTCTTTGTCCGTTCAACCCCCGCACAAGAAGGCGAAGCATGCAATGATGCCTCTTCTCCGATGCAAAAAGTGAGCTGAAGCAATTTGGAGAAGAGGCGTCATGCTTTGCGATTCTCTAGCAAGTCGTGCTTAACGATGTCGCAAGACGCGCGCCGTAGCTCGTGATGGGCCCTTGAGGCCCGGTTACATTAGGCAAGGGAGGGGGTGAAGATGACACGGACGGGAAAAAAAAGGACCTTTGGCGCTGAGAGAACCGAGCTTGGGAGAAGAAGTCATCAGAAAACAGACTCGGCAGAATACGAAAATTCGAATATCCTGTAGAATATGCATCGCATCCCAAACTGAAGTTTCGAGGAGACTGCACGAAAGTCGCCTCCCGGATGGCGGGGTCTTAACAAAGCGAGGGGATCAAGTCCCAACAAACCATTCCGATTGTTGTGAGGTCAAGACGCATTGCAGCCTACAGTCGGGGTTCAGCTATGTAGACAAAGTGTGTTTGCCGACGAAACCTAAACGTTTTCTCGGACGTGAAGGCGGGGAGGGACGTGGTTGCCAAGTCTCAGAAAGGGAAAAAAAAAACGAATGGGTATGCCTGGCCTCTTCCAAATCGTACATTGATTCTCCAGCAAAGCAGGGCTGGCCGAGGAAAAAAAATGATAGCAAATAGAACCCATTGTGCATCCAGTAGAGGAGAGAGACGCACAGCAACCACACGCACATTTGACGCGCGGGTCTTCTTGTAGACACCACATCCGACGGAGGCTATATGTTTGTGAAAGTGGCACGTCGATCATCGGGTCTACTTTCTTGGTTGGCGCCGCCGAGAATTCGAACACAGCCATGACATGGAAACAACTTTGTCGACACTGCCGCACGAAGCATAGGCCGGAAGATTCGGAGATATGACACCGGGTGCGACCCTGTTTTCTATTATAATGGTTTGTTCTTCATGTTTTCTGCTTGCACCCCGGTGCGATCTCTCCGACCGGCGCGATGCCCGACGCCCGATGAAATACACACAGAGGCGGTGTCGTACGCACCCCGGTGCCATGTCTCCGACTCTCAATACCTGGCAGGGTTGGAAAAGTTGTTGGATTCGTCACTTGCACTGACAGATCTGACCTGCACACCACATCAATGCGCACTTGGCATTGGCGTCCCAAGGCCAACAAACGATCGATGTGGTTTCCATCTTGGTGTCGGTTGTCTCCCGCCTTCGTTTCGGTCTTCATCCACGAATACCAGTACGCAAGCAGCAGCACGTAAGATTTCCTTGCCGAAGGTGAAGGTAGGTTACGGCTTGTATGCTGTGTGCTTGGTTGGGCGGTGTGCGGTTTGCAACTCCCACACCGCTTCAATGAAAACAACAGACAATCCCCGCGTGAGCCGTGCTGACCGTACATCCATCCATCAAGGAGTGGCGCTCCGCCGACACCGTCACCAAAAGAAAGAGGTTCGGACAAACGCCCACAGTTCGTATATTTACGGGGGAATAGAGTGGTAAACAAACTCTCTTACGATGCAGTTTGCGGCAGAAAGTTCACCCTTGGGGTACTTGGGGTTTAAGTACTCTGCTATCCCTAGGTCGCATTCCGAGGTCCTGAGCACCACAGGATATCGTGTATGCCGACACCGCCGGAAACATATCTGGTTGAGAGCCTACATGTGCTCAATCACACCTCCGCGGTCGCCCAAAATACCCAATAGCCTAGACGCCGCGGGGGCACACTCTGCGGCAACCCGCCCCGCCCCCCCAGAGAACACGGATCGCCTCTCTAGCAAAGCCGCAGGCCGCGTGCCAATTGTTGCCCCCACCGCTGACAGCTGCGAAAGCACGGTGGCTTCCAGGGTAGGACAACCTGGCAGCCGCGACGACGTGCCGTCGCCACTGCCACCTTGGGCGCTACTGTGCCCCGCATCGCCCGTACCCGCAGAAGCGCCACCTGCATCCGACCTCAACCTTGCTGCGACTGTCGGGGGCGACGTCACCCGCCCTCTTGCGCCTCTGCCGCCGTCTGATGCTACATCCCCTCTCTGGCCGTCAACGGAGGTACTATGCTGCAGATGCTGATGGTGATTCCTTCGCGAATATGGCTGCTGCGACCGCTGCTGCTGCTGCTGCTGCTGCTGCTGCTGCTGCTGCTGCTGCTGCTGCTGCTGCGGGCATCGCTGCTGAGTGGAGGTATCCATTGTCTGCATCAGCAACAGCCACACGCCGTCCCCATCGAGGAAAGCCAGCCGCCGGAATAGCGCCTCGGCCCGGGAAAGGATGGAGGCGGCGCCGGCGGAGGACAGGCATGGGAGGGCTGCAATGGCAACCTGGCGACGAAACAAATGTGCGGGTTAGTTTTGGTCATGCTAAAGCGTTTCAGTGCAGGATGCAACACGTTCCCTGCAAATCTTCCGGTTTGTATTTGCAGAAGAGAAGAAGCAAGGAGTTTTGCCGCTTTCGAGGGCTCGAGGCCAAAGGATTCTTCGCGAAAGCAAAATTTGTCCGTCACCTGAATGTGCGCCTGCGAAAGAACTTTTCCACGATGTTCTCGGCTAAACTCCCCGCGAGTATTGAGCACCATCGCATGGAATAAATAGTGAGAACATTGCCGACTAGACCGCAGCAGCCGCGGGATTTCTCAACACCTCAGTTTCTAAGAAGTCTCACTTAAAAAACAAAACTCTCACCAGAACCGAGTTCCACTACGAATACTACGTTTCGTCCAGCTGCAGCTGCGCTTCATAGACGCAGTCCGACTAGCGCACAACCAAAGGCTTCGTGCCTGAGCCTCAAGCTCTGTGACTTTCGTGCAAGGAGGAAGAGATGAGCGATTGTTATCCGCGACGAATCTCACCTCCCGGGCTAGCGGCGCCATGAACCGCTCGCACTGCTGGCTGCTGCATAGGCGTTCCAAGCTCTCGAGGGTCCGGGCCACCACCTTCTCACCCATGGTATCCCTTCCTCTACGACCACCCTTCCCACTGCTCGCCACTAACCCCGTCATGGCACCATTGGTTCCGCCCCCACCATTAACGCCCCCAACAGGCCCGCCAGGCGGAACAACAAGAAGGCTGTTGAGGCCGCCTCCGCCACCGTCGACATGTATGTCGTTCCGCGTATCGTTCGTGCGACCGCTAGTCTTGCTGCCGACGAGGAACAGCCCCCCCGACGCAGAAATAGACTGCGATGGCGGCGAAGACGATGTAAACAACGTCGAGTGTTGCTGCTTCCGTTTGGTGGTGGTGGTGGTGGTGGTGGCGCTGCTGCTGTTGGTTCCTCCGGGTGTCTTGAAAGCTGCATACTGCAGCAAGAGAAGCTGCGAAACGAAATATGACGAACGGAGACGGTGCGGTAACGAAGCCACTTATGGTCTTGCATGCATATGAAGGCCGCCACTTCCCGTTGTATCGCTACGATAAATTCTCCCACGTGGGAATTCTGAAAGATCCCACAAACATGCAACTGGGCCAGTGACGACGCCACAGCGCCAACGGCGACCATCAACAAGTGCACCACCCCAGCCCTCATCGATGCCTTCACTGCTCACCAATTACTACCAGCGACATTCGCAACGACTGCAAGGTATCCCACGGGGCAGGAATTTTCTCACCTTCAGAAGCGGCCACAAGTCCTCGGATACCTTAGACGAAAGAAAATCGCCGCAGACGTCTACCAAAGCGTCGACGGTGTCGAGCGAGTGGAGCAAGACGGCTCTCCTGGAGGACAGTGAAGACGCCCCAACGTGGCCGTACCCGTGGTCACCTGCAACACAAGCATCAACCAACGGAACAAGCCGATAGTTCATCCCTCCACAACTCGAGAGACAAGAGAAGCTACCAAGGTGCACCGAAACGCGTGCAACTTTCAAAGGACGCCGGAAAACAATCAACTATAATAGTGATACAAGTCCCCACCAAATAATGACCCCAATATCTGTCTCGACCCCGGTATAGCCTGAACGTCGAGGAAAGACTGGCTGGCATGCATGAAGGGGTGGTGCAACATCTTCGACCTGAACAAATGAATCTACAATGCACCCAGGACGATCCAACAACACGACCAAAGGGCATGGGTTAAAATAAGAAAAGAGCAACAAATACGCCACCGCAGCATGCAACCGTCGTCACACACGGCGGACGTGGTGGTGACATGCGGCTATCATCTAACAACACCTCTCATATACATGTTGCTAACAGCAGTTTTTCGTTGTTGCTTGTTTTCCCTGTTGGCATCCAATGGGTGCGTCTAGTATTGCTGCTGCCTGAGCCCACCTCCAGACCCGACGGAAGCAGGGAGAGGAGTCAGGTGCTCCCTTAGACTCGCCATCAGCGGTCGCCATGCCCGGTGCACGTGCGGCAAGAGAGCTAACCAACACCGACGGAGTAATTCAGCACCAATAAAACGCGAGATAAGGGAGAGCACGAGCGCGGTGGAAGGACTTGCTGCTTGGCGGGAACCGAATAATTGCGATCAACTGCATCCCTAGGAACGTGCAATATTGCCCATGGCAAAAATGACGTTGTCAAAAATACTAGTATCCACTTGGTTTTGGTACAAAACCACGAGCGGCACCAATCGATTGGATCCGCGCGGTACACGAGCGGGGGGGCAAACCGGTGTTCCACAAAGTGTCCAACAAGGTATAACCAAATCCAGGCGCTCGCCACGTGCCTCCAAGGGAGCTATCACATTCACACTCGCCGCAGCCCTACTACCATCGATCGTTGGCGGGAGCAGAACCCGGCCAAAGGACAACATCAGACACCTCCGATACACGACAGAACGGTTCCAAGAAACGTTTGAAACATCAAGAGGAAGACAACCGACGGCGCATGACGTGAACAAGGAGTGCAAGTCTCACCAGCGTCGGCGCCGGCGGATGCTAGCTTCAACACGCAGTCGCGCATGCAGGCGAGGGCCAGGGCTTGCGTCTCCAGCGAAGGGGTGGCGAGATAGTGGCAGCTTCGTGCCAGCACCTCGGACAGCGTTTTGACCTGAAAACAGCAGAGAATTCCGGGAAATACACACACGAACATAAAACACGAGGTCCCGGCATGACCAAAAGAGGCCACCTAATGATAACATGTTAACGCACGAGTGTTGTAAATAGAGTGCGTGATCTGGTGGTTTGCCAGTAAGTACACCCACAGGTTGGAGGTCATGGGGTAGAGTATAGCTGCGAGATTTCTCACAGGAACACTGTCGACGAGTCATAAAAGAAATATAATCTATCAATCATGTTTGCACAATTAGTCTTGTTCATCCTTCTGCACCAAAAGTAGCCCCCACCATCAACAATGAACTCGTGGCTAGACCATGCCATCGTATTATGTTTCGAAGGTCACCAATGCAACGCAGAAAACGAGGAAATCGAGCGCACCTCCTCGGACTCGGCAATCTTTCTGCCCTCCGCGTCCGGCTCCGGCAACTCTTGCTGTCCGTCTGACTCCTCCTCTGCCTGCCCCGCCGCCTTTCTCGCCTCCTCCTCTATCTCTCGCCACTTCGCTTTGGTCCTTTCGTACTCAGTGTTCGCCGTGTCACTTTCAACTCTACCTTCTTCGGAGTCGTCGTCGGTGACATCGTAGCCCATCGCCTTCGCAAGCAAACATTGGGGAAAGGGAATTTGGGGTTAACCGCGAACTCTGACGCGGCTGGCTTGCTTCGTGCGCCTGCACGAGCACCGGACGCGCTCGCCACCCGTGTTCTCTGGGACAACGCTCGTTTATTCAATTTTTCAAGCAAGGTTTAACATTTCGCTTTGTGCTGTCGCCCTTTCGTATACGACCTGCGGTTCATTTCTAGCCTCTAGCAGTCAACGCGAGGCGAGGCGAGAGGGGATGGGAGCAAGAAACATTTCATTGCTTCGTTCAATTCAATTCAAATGTGCGTGTCATCCACTCCCTTCGGGTTTCGCGAATCCGATAGTCTCACCATTACGGAAAACCGGTTTCCCGTCAAGTCGGGACAGGTATCACCATGGACCGAGTCGGAAAATTGTGTTGTTTCTTTTGGGCCCTGCTGGTTCATTTGGAAACCGCGAGCCCGAGGTCATCTATTGGCGATTTTCAGATTTTACATCGTTTGACGTTAGACCCCAACTTCAATTTCCCACGGTGTCAGTTTGTTTGGCCGCTGCGCTCATCGAATGATTATTATCGTGCCGTTTCAGGTTCAGTAGCGAATTGACGGCAGCACGTCCTTTAGTGCTCAACTTGAACAACACTGGCTAGGAAAGTCGAACTAAACTACGGAGGCCGCTGAGTGTCACGAATTCCCTACTTCGTCTCAATAATTCGACATCAATCGTCGAAGGATCTCAAGTAGAAGCGCCCTGAGAGGTCAAGCATCCAAGTTGGACCTGGCCAACGCTGTGTTCACGCACACACCCCATTGGACGTTCAATGAACCGCCCTCGAAAAAGCACACGACCAGAGGGGCGGCCCGGGTAGGTCCGAAACATCCCGATCTTGAGAGGCAAAAACAACATACACGCGGTCAAGAAGGCTGAACGGCAAGCAGCCGTGAAATGAACAAAAACAAAGAGCGTCTCTTTTCCCACAACGAATGTTGTCCACTGTCCGAAACAACGCACCCACCGCGTGCTCTAGCCGCACGTCATCAAGTACAACATCGTATCCACGCACCTCGCGATGCTCTTTCACCGCCTTCACCAGACCGTTCGTAGCCGCCTTCGCCTTGTCTCCCACACCCGAGGAATTCTCTTCCACGCGAAGGACGTCCGAAGCGTCCGCGAACTCCACGAACAGCTGCCTGTTTGCGGCGTCAAAAACGTTTTGCATAGGATTACAATGTCTGGAGGTGCTTGCCTGTTGGGCATGTTTGCGTCGTCGACAACGTCTTGTTTAGGGCTGCAATGTCCGGAGATGAATCTAGTATCGCGGTTCCTTTCTTTCTTGAGCGATTTCACAAGAAGAACGCCCCACCGGCACCGTACCTCCCCTAAACAATACCCCCCCCTCCTTGACATGAAGGAAAAAACTGTGCTCGTTGCGCTGTGCTTGTGAACGGGCAACGCCAAGCATCAATACGTTCCCTACGCAAGAAGGCCGACACTATCTCCCGCTATTTAGTTCTTCGACAGGAATACCAGGGCCTATGAACTTCACGCGCGTGGCCGTGAATGCACCTTCTCCCCCACAAGACCTAAATATCCCCATCCCGCCTGGAATAAAAACTTGCCTGAACCACGGGCTCTCCGCTAGTGCAGACTCTCCGTTGCGTTCCGTTGTCCCTTGTAAATCCTCCTCCTCCTTGTCGTCCTTGTCATGCTGGTCAACCCCCGAGTTGGGGAACTTCTCAGAATTTTCTGTTGCCAGCGTGTAGACGGAACGAGGTTGTCACAACCGACACAGGGATTTTGGTAGAGGAAGGAAATGGTTCGACCTCCATCCTCCTGTAGATTAACGGTTGAAACTGTTCATCCATTGATTCATGTGGCGTCCCTATCGAGATTGGGACCGCAAACACCGTTTTGGGCTACGACGGCACAACCATCACAACGTGATTGGCGGAAAGATCGTCCGTACTCGATCTATCGCGCCCGGCGACGGACATCAAGTAGTAACGTTACATTTCGCCCGACCCCACACTCCAACCCGAAAACCATCCACCTGGGAGTGTGGATGGTAATGTTCCCGTGTTCTCAAGCCGGATGACATCGCGGGACCTTTTCGATGTGGGACACTATTACCTTCTGCAAAAAAGAAAACAGAACACGTCCTCGCCAGGGGACACGCTGGAGAGCGAGATTGACACCGAGACTCGGAGAACAATCGCGATGGCGACGACTGGAACGATAGCTCACCGGGGGGTGGCAGAGGTGGCAGCGTCACGCACGAGGCCACCGCGCGAAGGACCCCGAGACTGCGGCGAGTCTGCCGGGGGTCCCAGGCGCACGCGTCAACCTCCCGAAGGGTAACCCCTGCCAGGTCCCTCACCTGGGCGATCCAAGGCACGATCATCAGCACGGAAATGTAAGAAGGTAGAGGTGCAAATGATGCAGGCAATCTGATGTCGGAATGTCGTAGCCGCTCATGGACCTGTGTTCATACATGCACATGCTTATCGCGAGACAGTGGTGACTGGCCTGACTCGTTCATGTTCCGCGGTTCATCACCAACATTTCCACACCAGCATTCCAAGGGTGCCATACAAACGCACACAGAGGACATAGAGCAGCGTCATGAAGAGCTTCGCCCTCACACAACACGGGCATACGATACAGGAGTAGAAGTGTGGCCATACGCACCAGGGCGGGTCCCATGGCAGAGCCTCCAATCCTCAGTACGGCCTCCACCACACCGGGAATACCCGATCCGGCACTGGTTCCACCGCGTCCTCCGCCGGTTATCATGGTACTGCCACCGTCCATGTTGCGGCTTCTCCGGGACGAGGAAGACACTCTTCGAACCACGTCATCTACCACGTAGTCCATGTTTGCTGGGAGCGGGTTCGCCATAGGGAGTAGAAAAAACACGGGAAACAATAGAATCGTTGGGGTACCGCGGTATTGTTCGATGGTGCCTAGGGGTGTGGATCTGCTTTAGTCCGTGGCGATCGCCGTGGGAAAACCGCTGTATTTTGATCTCGGAAATGACAGAGACGTTTCCGGCGAGAGCAAGATATGGTCCATGGTCCTAAAGCGTGATACGGTGTCGAGACGCTCGACTTCCTCAACCACGAAAAAGCACAAGTTCACAGAACCCAAAAAAAAACATGGAACCCAACAACGCCACGATGCCGGTCATGACAAGCAGCACAACAGCACTGTGGGACACGAAAATCTCGAAGAAATAAAAATGATCAGCGAAATGGCACGAACTGGCTACGGCACCAGAGAAATCAATACCAACAAACAACACAAGACGTACACACCGAAAATGGACGGGCGTCGCCCGAAAAGCAGACATCAATACTTCCAAGTAAGAAACTGGGCAACAGCTCGGGTTATCCATCCGTCGAAACCCGTCAGAAGTGCAGAAACGATAGTGACAAGGGTCAGTTAGACACACAATCTCAGGGGTTCAACCGCAAAACATACCCTCGAGGAGCTGCGATGTGTCCTCGAAGTCCCCGCACGCCACCCGCACCCTTGCCAAGGTTGCTAACGCGGATTGCGATACTACGGGGTGGGTCGACGCCGCCTGATCACAATGAAATTGTGGTGGACGGAGCACGAAAGACACAACCAAGAAACCGTTAGCAAGAGAATTTTTCCAAGGAAAAGAATAGCAACGAACAGACGATAGCGCGCTGAGATGTATATAATAGTAAATTCTCAAAATCCACACGTGAAGAAGACCAAGTTCATTGAACCAGAAGAGTGAAATACTGAACCGCCGTTATCAACAAAGCTGACAAGGGAAGAGACATATGAGTGAAATCGAAGATAGCGAAAAAAACCTATACTGTACACGAGTGAAAACGGGATGCGGTAGTGAAATGTGGAAATGAAAAGAAAAAATGCGAAGACAGAAATGGAGACCCAGATAAACGTGAGCAGCACAACAAGTTGAGTCGAACCCACCCAAACCGAAGTTGACGAGTTTCGATACGTGAGTGAAGAAGGGACAAACCCACAGGGGCGCGGGAGTGGAAACGAACGAAAATGGACCAAGACGTTGTGAATCCAGAGTACGAGTGAACAACAGACGAAAGGGTGAAGAAAAGAGAAGCTTTAACGGGAGACATCAGTGAAACGGAGACCGAGAAAGGAGATGAAACCGAGTGAAAACAGAGTCAGAGGGTAACGGAGGGTTCGATGTACTGAGCGTGTGACACAGCAGTTACGAAAATGTCGAACGACGGAAATGAACACGAGAGAGTACCGAATCCTCTTGAAGGCTAAGTTCCGAAGTACGACAGAGAATGAGTCAAAAGCGGGATTGTGATTCCACTTTTACAACAAAACGAGTGAAAACAATACCATGGTATACAAAAGTGGCGCAGATCACCAAAGCTAACTGCACAACAGACCCCGAGCTCGCTTTGTCGGTTCGATGTGAATCAACCGACAGCTAAGTGACAAATGAAAGGTTGATCCAGATTGCGAAATCAACACCAGGTGGGGAAGGGACGAACGGCATGGATTTTCCTAAAAAAATCAAAACATGATCAACGAGGTTCAAAAGCCATTAGTAGTGAAATATACGAAGGGCGAACCGCGACAAAGATTTGTTGAACTGTGAAAAAACACGAAATCGAGATGGAGCGCTGACGCGACGTGTTTTTCGAAGGGAATATGATGGCAGGAGAATATGTAGACTGGTGCATGTCAAAAAACGGCCAAAAACCACGCAGACAGACCTTCTCCAGCAAGGGGTAGAGAGCCCTTCGAAGAAATGCCTCTCCGCACCCTGGACCAGACGCCTCCGCTAGAGAACCCAAAGCCTCCACAACAGTGGAAACAAGGGTGGCGTTCGCGTCGAGAACCTTGGTTCAGTCGCGGTGACGGCGGCAACCAACGCAAGCGCACAGGGAAAGATTCGGAAGGAGCAAACGGAGGGGTTACGCGCCTCTATGTGGAGACCTGAGCACGTGTGACTACCAGGATACAACCGCAGGTTCACCGAGGTTACCTTTCATCATGAAAGGAACACGAAAAAAAATCGTGCTGACAAGAGGCGACGACTTGGCTGAAAGCACCCCACAGAAATGAGTGCCTGTGTGCGCAATGAAAACCTGGACCAGAGAAACGGCAGGCGCTGGGGAGTCCTGCGGGTGGGGGCGGTGCATTCGTTCAAAACCGCGAGGGGCCTACACCATGAACGCCAACCTGGGACACAGAATAAACAGTGAACAAGGCGGGATCCAAACAGCATACCGTGGAGGACTGCACGAGGGTCGCCCAATCGAAAACAGCACGAGCACTTCGTGGGTCGGCAGGAACTGCTCGAGCAGCGCTCAGCTGGGGAAGGGAACCGACCTACAACCACACCGTTTGCGTGTACGTTACCTGGCCGGAAACCCCGCGAGATCGAGAGCGGGCGCCACCGTCGCCCCCGACCCCAAGCACCTGCCCGGACCGCGTGTATTCGACGGAACGCCGCGCCAGCGCTGCAACGTCACCTCTTTCTCCTTCACCCGCATTTGCGCCGCTGGTCAGCAGCGACTCTCTCTCGAAGTCGGCGGCCCCAACATTCCCATAGCTCCCGCTGTAGCCAGCGGCGGCTGCTTCGGCCCTCGACACCGGCAGGTTGAAGGTGTGAGAAGCTAGGAGACGCTCCAGCTGAATCGATTAACAGCATAGGAGATATGGGTAGGGTTTCGCAAGGCCAAACGTGTTTGGTGGTACGTGGCCCAAGGCGTCGGACCAGGATAGCGGGCGCGATCGGCGGTACTTAGACGAAACATCTGGTGAAATAAATGCCGCTCGGGCTTGATGCCGAAGGGCAGTAATTAGCGGCTTCGACAAAGTAGCAACCACTGAATAAACAGACAACACCGTTCGGAAGAGACAATCACCTCCCAAACTCGCACTCAGAGCCTCACCATGGATATCGCAAGACCGCGCCCCAGAAACATTCCCTCATCCTCCCCCGTAACGTTCGATTTCCTCGCCTCCGCCCCTTCGCCGCCACCATCTTTGCCGGCCTCCTCTCCCGCCGCTGAACCGGACCCACGGCCCAGAAGCGCCTGGTTCAGCACCCAAGCCAGAGGCAGTCGGAGCCGGAGCCACTTGAGGCACCGCCGTCGGTAGATGGCGTCGTTGCTGCTGCTGTTGCCGCCGTCCTCGCGAAAAGCAGAAGAACGGTCCGACCAAGGGCCGATGGCGACGGCAGTCTCCGGTGTTGCCGCCGCCGGCGGCGACGGAACCGGAGACGGTCGGTACCGCCGCCGACTGGACGGCCGGGGAGGAGGGCGCGGAGAACGGGTTTCCAGCGATGATATGGAGGCGTCCGCGAGGGAGGGGAGGTCGCAGAACTTCCCCAGGAGACGGACGGCGCGCCTCGCCGAGGACAGCGTGGAGTCCTCCCGGACGTTCGCGAAAACCTGAACGGGGAGGGCGCCGAGGGTTTGTGTATGTCCAGCAACTTGAAGGTCTGTAAAGTGATGTTTCGGTGGAAATAAAAAAAACAAAGTGGCGTGTTGTAATGAATGCTGTCACCAGCCAAAAAATAAACGTGTCTGTAGAGAACAACTGGGGCCCGGTTGGGGGCGTTCGCGACATGGGACACCCGGGGCGCTAAGCAAAACGCGAAAGGGGAGCGTCTGGAACGTCAAGGCCCATTCACCGCGTATCACGCTTCGTCGCTCCCAAAAACCCAGTGAACAAGAGTTACTCTCTAGAGGCCTTAGCGAATCTCTCCGGAGTGAACAACACGCAATCGATCTACACGTGCACAAAAACCACTGAGGGACCGCTGAAGTATGCTCGAGCTGAATTGTGAGGCAAGCAGTACAAGAAGCAACGTGAAGAAGCAAAAATCCCTTGGTCGCCTTCCTTCTCTGTGACCCCGGCTGGTGCCCCAAAAATGTTTTCCGTAAGCTGTTGACTTGCGCGCCAGAATCGGCGGACGAAAAAACTGAAACCAAGTACCCACAGCGGTGCAATAGTGCACAATATGACCGGATGGCCTGCCCCCGCCCAATCGTGGTGTGTACTCCTCCGCACAGCCGTTCGACCCCCCATGCTGCGGCACACACCTGTCTGTAGTACTTAGGGCGGTTCGGGCGACACGCCTCTGGCCCACCGTCTTGTGCCGTGTCACTCGGACTTATATTCTCGCTGCTGAGGTTGCCACTGCTGCTGGCGGATGAGCCCTCCAGGGCCTGGGTATGGGGCGTGTCGCGACCAACGACGTATGCTATATTCAATCGAGAGAAACCGGCCAGGAACATTCCAAAGAGTTCATCGACGCATTGACGAGAAACCTACAACCTCGCATACAACCATTGAAGACAGTTGTCGTGGTGTCCAAAATTCGTGAAGAGAAATGTCAAAGCGGACAACATCAGACCCCATCCAACCAATTGATTAAATAATGTTGGTGTCATGTTACCTGAGTGCGGGAAATTTTGGAAAAGAACGATACGATTGTTTCTGTAGCGCTCTGCCAAATTACACACACGGAAACAAGAGACAAGCCGGCCATCCTCCGAGCGGTAAGCGTGCGGTGAGACTCTACAGCATCGCGAAAATTAAAAAAATGCCGCACAACACGGAAGAAACACTGAACCTACACCACCATCCCGCCCTACCACTACCAAAGGGACGACGATACCAGAGCAGTGCTAACCTGCACGTTGAAGTCCTCGTCAAACTCCAGGGTCTCGCAGAGGCAAGACAGCACCAAAGACAACCGGCCGTCCAAGGCCGCACGCGCATCGAACCGCAACAGCGACAGATACCCCGCTAAAAGGTCGAACGCACCGCGGAGACGTCTGCCAAGAGGGGGAAGAGAGAGTGAGAGAGCGAGAGAGAGAGAGAGCGAGAGAGAGAGAGAGAGAGAGAGAGAGAGAGAGAGAGAGAGAGAGAGACATAGGCAGACAGACAGTCAGAAAGACAGACAGACAGACAGACAGACAGACAGACAGACAGACAGACAGACAGACAGACAGACAGACAGACAAACAAACAGACAAACAGACAGACAGAGCGCGAGGTTGGCGCTTTAGGGAGGTGTGTGTTCACAACATACAAAACTAATATCTCTGGCTTCAGCGATACGGCCCAAGATAAGAAGAATGGAGCTCACCAACGTTCAACAACACGTAGGTGAGAAATACGCAAAGCTTTGTACAAAGAACTTCCCTCCTGCCAGTACTTTGCAAAGCTTACTTCTCGTCTGCCGACTTGGCCATCGCCGGCAGCCCTTCCGCGATTGTGCACAGGCGCTCTAGGAGGATACCCCTTAGCTCCAGCCACCGGAAGGGAGATAGGGTTGCGCGGAAGCTGTCTAGGCCCCGACGGGCCTCCGCTGACACCTGGGGGCAATAACAAAAGCGTGCGGCACAATGTTAGCGATAGCAGTGGACGTTCGATATGAACGGGAGCAGGGGCAAGGGAACCAGAACGAAAATAAGACAAGAAAGAGGCAAGAGACCAAAAGACCTTGTACAGTAGATGGGCATGGGAGAGAGGGCGACAGATATCAAGCACGTAGTGCGCTAGAAATGGACTAGTATACCCACCGATACGTCGCGCGTAGAACGTAACCAACCGAAACCACAACAACACCAGACAAAAAAAAAAGACTCAACCCCCTGCGCGGTGGATGTGGCAAAAGCAAGACGATCAAAGCACCTAGCCCAATTCGACCCGGATGGCAGAAAGCACCAACCTGCGGCATGCTGTCCAGAAGAAGCCCCACCAAGGCTTCCATCAGCAGCGGCGTCAACGGCTCCAACAGTCCCCCCTTCCCTTCGCCGCTCCCTCTTCCCGCCTCACCCCCGCTCGCCGCTTCATGGCCGCCCCCGCCGGCTCGCAACAGATCGGAGGCCAGCTTGGCCGTGGCGCGCCGCACACGCCACCCGGGGTGCAGGCAGCAAAAGGCAAGCAGGGGGGGCAGCAAAAGACGGAGGCGGTCGCTCGTGCGAGCCTCCCACTCCGGGTTTTCGACGGCAATCACCGTCGCCGCAGCCGCAGCCGCGGAGGCGGCGGCCGCGGCGCTCGAAGTCGTCGTAGACGCCGCAACAGCAGCAAACGCTCCGGGCTGGGGCGGGGGGTCTGGACTAGGGCTGGCCCTTCCGTGGTGGCCTTCGGGAGAAGCGGCAGCGCTTGCGGTACCGGCGGGTTGGGCTGGGTTTCCAGGATTCCGGGCAGATGCATTCGAGGTGACGGCTAACCGCTGGAGAGCAAGCAGCGGGTCGCTGTCCGTGCTACTGCGGCTCTGGGGTTGTCCGCCCGTTCCGCTCTGAACAGCTTCGTCTATGCCATCGCCTGCCTTGACGACGCGGGCGGGATCGCGCGCAGCAGAAACACCCGCGGTGGCCGCCCCCGTGGCGGTGGCAACAGCACCCGCGTCTCCACCCGCACACATCAGGAGAACTTTGGCAAGAGTTCCTAAGCACACCTCTGCCAGAGCCGACTTGCTGCCGCTGCCACGCCGTCGACCATCCCCTCCCAGTTGAGCCGCGGACGACGGCAGCACCATGCCACCAGCAACATCCCGCCCTGAATGGATACCTCTGATCGTTCGAAAAAGGCCGCTGAAGGTCCCGGGTAGCAGCCGCCTCCAAACGGCAGAGCCGGGCGTAAAGGAACAAAGAGCCTCCAGGCATCCTGCCGCGGCGCGGGCTTCTTCCGCCCCCCCCCACACCCTATCTCTCCCACTCCCCCCGCTACCCGGCGATGCCGCCACAGCCCTCCTGCCGGCACCAGCCCCACTTGCAGCGGGAGGAGAAGATTCCTCGCCTTGCTGACAGCACAGCAAGAGCTCTTGCACGAGCTGTGCGAGGATTCCGCCGCCCATGGCGTCCTTCAGGTCGTTCCGCACTTCGGACCATAGCGAGTCGTTGCTGCCGCTGCTGCTGCTATGGTGCCAGTCACAGGCGAAAGGAGCTCGCAAGACAGCCTGTGCAACCGCGAGGAACAAGGTTCGGGGTGTATTTAGACCAGGCGAAACAAACCAGGGTGTAGAGCAGGCTCGTGGAAACAGGGGGAGGGGGCAGCGGCAACGGCTTCGCAGAACAGGCAAGCCGGGGGTGGTTCGAGAGGCACAACACTCGCTCACCCGTTGTATGCTACTGGTGCATGTTTTACCACCATCGCTGCCCACAGCCGAGTTGGATTTAGTCAGTCAAGCGCACCAGGGCCAACTGCCGTTAGAGACGTGTTTGAAAAGGGATCGCTCCCGGTTGTCTCCGATCCTCGGCTGAAAGTCACGGCCAAGGGATTGCTCAAAAAGGTTTCCGAAGAAGATCTTACTGGTAGATGGTACTGAAGAACCGGCAACGGTCGAGTGCATGTGGCTGACCGATCTGGTAGCCTACGTGCTTGTTGTGAAATGCGACGAGGCTCCCACAAACGTCTCGACCCAAAGGAATTCCACCTTGTGTTTCCTTGACCCTAAAAGACTCGAAACGCCCATTGGCGACAAAATTGCCACCTTGGCAATAAATCGTTGTTCAGACCTGAGTCGATTAGCCATTGGCAGTATACCCCGACATTCAACATAGGAGGGCGAACGCTTCTTCAGTCGCTGCCGTGCTCGGACAAAGGAAAGGCGGAACCCATCTGCCATCACCGCCAATGGCTACTCGCAACAGGGCGAACGGGAAACTGCAGCCTTCGTGGGACGAGAGAACGCTACAGCAACATGGTGGTGGGCTCACCGTTCTCCAACACCACAACACCCTCTCTCCGCTCACCTCCAGACACTTCAGGCAGGAGAGCCGCAGCGCATCGGTCCCCGCAGTCAGCCCGCTTCCCCCCACCCCACCGGTTCCGTTGCGGACAGCACCAGGCACGGCGCTCCCACTGGAACTCCCTGCCGGAACCCCGCCGCTCGCCGGCGAGCACCCCGAGAGGGTGAACACCAGGCGAATCATCACGTGGATCGTTGGCTTCACGCCGTAGCCCTGTGCAAATCCATGGAAGGGGGCAGCATACTCACAAAGAGGCGGCGTGCCGGTGCTGAAAGCCTTAGCAGCTCGTGATACATAACCGGGTAATAAACAGCGTTTCGACGACTATGCAGACATTGAACACGCCTAGGAGGGGATTGCAATAGCCCCGTCGGGGAACTAGAGAATCCAGGGGGATTGTCATGATTGATGTTGAAACAACGGTGGAATCTATTCTGCAGTTCGATAAGAACGGATTTGCTTGGACCGCCAAGCTCCCACCAACCAAGAGCACACACAAGGCCACATCAACATGCTGCCACACTAATACGGCAGCCAGACCCTGCGGCAGCCTCCCGTAACAAAGCATTGACTCCTCGAACACACCTCCACAAACCGCGATCCACTCGCTCGAACGGCTTCCGCCACGCACAGGAATGCCTTCTCCCTTGCACCGGCCGGTACCTCTGGGCTTTGCCCACCCCCAAGCCCGCTGGTCTTTCTTCCGCCAGCATTGCGCCTGTCCGGAGGTGCAAGAGCCAGCTCGAGCGGAAGCATGACGAATGGCAACGCCGCGGGGAAGGCCCGCCGAACAACCTCAGAAGGGACAGGAGAGAGGGGCGGCGGGCTGATAGAGGGGGAGGGTATGAGTCCGGCGAGGGCGGAGTGGAGCGAGGCGAGGGAGGCCTCGAGTCGCCGCCCGGCCGCGATGTGAGCGGCAGCGGCATCGGAAGAGATAGCCGAAGAGCAGTGCTGTGGACCGTTAGCTGCTGCCGCTGCAGCCGAAGCCTGGAGGAAACAGCGGATGTGGTAAAGGGTAGGCCGGAAGGGACAAACAAGCTTTGAGGCGCCTTGTTGCCAACAGGGGAGACGTGGCTGAAAAAGGCGGGGATGGCGTCGAGCGCTATGTATGAATTCTGTAGTCTCCCTCCCTCCCCCCCCCCCCCCCCCCCCCCCCCCCCCC